GGGTGAGTCTCTAAAGGGTCCTGGAACACACTCTAGGACCCTTTGGAGGCTCACCCTGCCCCCCCCATTGGGCTAGAGGGGGCGAAATTGCCACCTTCTGAGGGCTCTTCTGAAGCTTCCCAAGCCTCAGAAGAGTCCCAGAAGGTGGCGATTTTGCCCCCTCTGGCCTTCGGGGGGGGGGTGAGCCTCCAAAGGGTCCTAGGGTGTGTTCCACAAGACGGACCTCTCCATAAAACTCACCAATTTTTAGGAGAAGAAAACAGATTTTTTCCTGTTTGCTTCTCCTAAAAATTTGGTGCGTCTTATGGAGCGAAAAATATGGGAATTAATGAAACAATAGTTTATAAAATATTTGTTGTTTGCACAGACCTTTCCCAATAAACATCTGTATCTGTGTTCTTAAAAGCAAGCTCAAATCTAGTAACAGATATGCTGAAACACTGCACTGGAGAATATAAGAGTATTTGGTTCAGCTTTGCTTGTTTTGAAGACAGTGGATCTTTTCAGAATCTTATTACTGGATTTAACATTCTTACAATGAACCTAGACAGCTCACATATCTATTGAGGGGAGGAGGCAACAAATGATATAGCAAATAGGAAAGGGAATAAATCTGGGAATTATATTTCAATACATGCAACTGCCTTCATAGCTTTGGAACTGAAATCCATGTATCCAGTCAGTCAAAACCTCTCAGGTAACTTTGCTCTCTATTTTCAACATCCTTCTAAAACATTTACTTAGTTCCCGCAGAATTTTTTTATTTCTCCCATATTATGCCGCTCCTGCAGCCCACTATTATAAACCGAAATGCTAACCTTTCAAACATATGGTGCTGCAAATGTGCTCATCTACTACTGGGAGAACCTCTCCTTAAAATGTTATGACTAACATCTTTGCTACTATATTAAAATGACTGTAAAGAGCTGTGATTAACCTCTCACTAGCTCAGGTCTGCTCTGGGTTTTCAGTTTTGCACTAGGAAAATTTCAGTGTGGGAAAATCTATTTATTGTGCTCCAGATAGTGATATTCATTAATCTGTCATAAAAATTAAAACCAGAAACCGTCAAAGGATTCAAACTACTTTAGTGATTACGACTGTACACAAAGACATTTCAATGGGACTCTGGCATAAGTGTTTAAGGAAAACACATTCTCATCTTATTATCCCTATCAAAGTGATGAATGCAAGATTAGTGGCATCTAGTTCCATCTCTGTTCTCAAATGGGCAAAGAAATTTTTTAGCAAGTCCCTAGGAGTACTTGTGTTTCATGCACCTCTCTTATATCATAGGCAGCCACAGCACAATATATATCTATCCATGTGTCCAGGCATACATCCACAAAAGCACACAGACTGAACTAAGTCTATACTGGAGACCAGAAATATATCAGTTACTAATAATAGTCATAGCAATATTTAATGTTAATGGTAATGACAAATTCATCCCAATTACTTGGAGACTGGAGGACATGTAAACATATTCGGCTAGCAGGAGATGGTTACGTAATCCATCTTATACATACACTGAAGTATTAAACACTTCCGTAATGTGAAACTACACAGCAAAAAAGCAGAACTTCAAAGCATTTGTATATTCTTACCTCTTGACTGTAAACCATGGCCACAAGCCTCATTGGCACCTAAGATGCCTTGTTTTATAGAATCTGGCACTAGTATACATGGACTCCATTTGTGGACCTTCCATCTGGAATTGCAGGAGAAGAACAATTGTAATGATACACTCTATGTTTCCTTCCCTTGAAATTCATATTGGGTTCAAATATGCCTCTAGTTTAAATCTCTATTTCTCTGTGGTAATAAATGACAACAAAATTGTTCCACTATATTGGTGGTTCTTTCCCTGTGACAACTCTTTTCATGACTTGCCTTATTGGTAAAGAAGAAGAATTTAATCATTCGAGTATGTGCAGATGTATGGCCAGCTATTAAGATGTCTATGCAGGAATGTAATATAGGACAAAAGACAAAATATCTGGATTCTTAAGAGCAAGAAAATGACCTGCTGTAAATCATTCCCATTCCCAATATTATAGACATAACTTTTCAAAACACCACTGATGAATGTGAGAAAATTTAGGAGATTTGCAAGAGGGGCAGGATCCAACAGTGATTTAGTGATTGATATACTAATAAAGATGACCAGTGTGTTGTATCCAATACGGTGAAGAATTAGGACTCTGGAGACCTCTGTCTGAATTCCCACCTAGGAATGGACACTCATGGGAGTGGTACTAGTAAAACCATTCCTTAAATATGTGACTTACCTTGAAAGCCCTAATAGGGATATGCTTGTTCCAAACTGACAGAACAGAACATACTATCAAGGGAGTACATGTGTGTACATATGTGTGTATCTGCGTGTGAGATAGTAGCATAACCATGGCACCTAGAAACCTAAAACCTGATGTGCATACAATTTGGACTTAAAGGGTACATCCATCAGGATTAGTCAGATTTTGAATCTATTTATTACTTCTAGTACATTTTAATGTAGTACCATATTCAATTACCAGTGGAAGACTTTCCTAACTAAAAGGCAGAAATTTGCAACTCTGCCGGGCATATTTATTTCTTCTTGTTTTCCGTAGCTCCAGACCACAGGGCATAAAGTCATAGAATCACAATAAAGGAGATTCACAATAACAGCAACTCAATAGTGGAAAGGACTATCAGAAAAGTGTGAGACTCTCCTTCATTGGAAGATTTAAAATTGAGATTGGAGGGCCATAGGTCAGGGAGGTTTTAAGCGATGGCTTTCCAGCTTTTGGCAGGGCATTGGACTTGACGATCCCATCTCAGCTGTAGAACTCCATGAAAGAAAAAAGATGGGAAAGGAATAAGAGCGGGGAGGAGAGAAGAAGGTTAGTGTGGTGAAAGATATGGACAAGTAGGACACAGGAACGAAAGACCAAAGAGGAAAAAGCCTGGGTTGGCAGGAGAAAACTATCTACTTGGTAGGTGAGTGAAGATAGAGAATGAATACTTGGTGGATGACAGAAAGAGCACTTTCCTCTACTACGTCAGAGCAGTTGAGTGGGTAAAGGAGAGAAAAAGCAGCCAGGTAGGAGGAAGAGAAAGAGCCCTGGTGCAGAGGATGGCCCTAGGAGTCTTCGAGCTGTGCAAGCTGGCAGGTTAAAAGTGAAGATTTGTGACTTGTGTAAACCACTGCACTGATGTCATAGTTCACGGGCCTGTCTGTACAATCCCATGAGCTGCAACTTCAGTTTACACATTGGGCTGTGAGATACCTGCAAACCATCCACATTAAGGGCAGGGAACCTGGAGCACTCCAGGTTTTGCCAAACTAAAGCTCCTTTGATCTCTAGCCTGGACAGCCAATGGCCAGAGGGAGTGGACTCTGTAACCCAGTAACACTGGCTTTCCTACTTTAGGAACAGACAGACACACAGAATGTGCAGGGCGTCATTTCAGTATATTGTGCTATATTTTCAATAAATGTGAGTGAATAGGTACAGTATTACAAATACCTTACTTCCATATTCTTTTGCAAATCCCACGTTTAAATTGTGTGTGTGTGTGTGTGTGTGTGTGTGTTAACCATACCTGTAAACAGGACAAAGAGGAATGTCTTCACACTCTCTTTCTTCAAACAAGGTGTCTGGGCATTCCTGTCCTCCATTAACAGGTTCTTGAATGATAATTCTATAGCGGGACTGTTTCACTGTAGTACCAGTACCTGAAATTTAAAAAAAATATTAAGTGTATCAAAATTATTTTCTATGAAGGACAGTTAATTTTTCATGCTTTAGCGATCATGCTTCTTTTTCACTAAGTGTCTGATGTAGGAGCCTGTCTTAGGTCATATTGAACCTATGAAAACATATTACATAATCCCCATTTGTCACAATTCTAAAGACAATGTGATCAGGTTGACTACAGAAGTGGCTGTGGAAAAGATTCTGTTTAGGTGATGCCGCTGGCTCTCATCAACAGAAAGGTCCTTCAAACATGCATGTAGATATTCTATTTCATAAAATGAATCTCAGAGTAATAAATTTAGTAGTTTGAGGGAAGATAATGTTAAAGTGGAAGACGGCCAGAGATAAACGAATCTGTGGCACCTACTCCTTTACAGACTGTTATAAAAACCCAACAGACTTTTCATATTTGTGAAGGTGGCTGCCTCTGTCAGTAGCTCCTGAAGAGAGAAAAAAGCAAGATAGAATGTTGTTTTCAATACTGTATATGTATGTAGTTTGTGGCAGCTCTGATGTACAGGAAACAGAAAAATCCCATGTGAGAAAGGGCAGCAGGGTGAAATTCCTGTAGTGAATGAAATTCTTACAGTGGAATTTCCCTGTAGAAATGAAATTCCAATATTGAAAATCTGGTCTTCTTTTCTAGACCAACTGGGATGCAACCTTCTCTGGAATGGCATTTGTCCACTCCTGATACCATTTATACATAATTCTAATTTTCCATGTGAGCTGGTCTAGATTGAGATCTAATACATTAAGATATGATAGCTAGAATCCTATTGCCATCTGCATAAGCTTTGTGTAACTTGCCATGGTTGCACATTTGCACATTTTAGTTGTGCAATTGCAGCAACCAAGATACATTCCACCATTTCATCAATATTTCAATTATACAAATACTAGTAGGATTCTAGCTAGTGAATCAATTACACATAGCCATGGGTTATACAACTCTATTTTATGTACTATCTCCGTTCTATTTGTATAAACAAAGAATCATTAAAGATGGACAATTCTTTTGCCCTGTGAGCAGGCGGGCATCTCTCCTACCACTCCAAGGTTCCAGCTGATGCTTGATGAAAGGCTATGAATGGTTTCTTTGCCCTGGCCATCACCCAGGAGGGGTGTCATAGGCCCTAGACATTGGGGCGAAGGGTACTCAAAGGTGAAAGGAAGAAAAGAGTGGGAAAGTTCCTGTACAAGACATTTTCCTCCCAGTTGGGACTATAAAAAAGCTACTAGAGGGCTTTGGAAGACTGCAAGGAAGAAAGAGACTCTCTCTAACTCGGGAGCCTTCCTAGATTGAACCCAATGGTCCCCAAGGCAAGAAGGGTCAAGCAGCTTCATTCATGTTCAAAACCTACCATGAGTTGTTGTGAAGTCCTGCCAGCAGTACCTGATGAAACCCCTAATCCAAATATCACATCAAACCCTAAGCCAACTTAGAAGGTAGAGACATCAGAGACAGTTTAAGAGACTGCACCAGTTGGATAGAACTTGAGAGAAGGAAAGATTTTACTGTGGGCTATTCCCCTTTCTGTTTGTGCATAGGGACTAATACTACTGGGATTAAAGTGGAACCACTTAGGTATGACTAAAGGACTGGACTATAGGGTGTAGAAGGGTTGAGTGAAGTGCCCATAGGTCTAATGGTGTCCTTGTAAAAAGTTCTACCATGAAGGTTTTGTTGGTTGTAAATGCTGTTTAGACCTTCCTTATGATGACCAACACCCCTAGTGGTCTATTTGATGTCCATTTATCCATAGATGGATTGCTTGACCTAATCTGCAAAATATTGATATGGACTTTAGAGCATGATTAATTATTTCAGATACAAGCCAAAATATTTTTTTGGTTGTCCACTATTCTGTCTTGCTGGACATATTTTCCTAGTTAATAAGAAACAGATATGCACTGTTAAGTGAAGATTATTTCAGTACTACTGTACATGAAAATATGACCAAAGGGCCAGCATGTGCACCCACAGAGGTCATTCATATCTCATCTATAAATGCTAATCTAAGCAATATGCACTCCAATATCCAAACTCCAGGAGGCAGTAGAAGACAGGAGAGCCTGGCATGCTCTGGCCCATGGGGTCACAAAGAGTCGGACATGACTTAACGACTAAACAACAATAATAAAAAACTATAGTAATACCGGGGAAATCTGCTGGTTTTTAAATCTCTCTTTGTAGTATAATTGTACAAGTGGATGTAAATGTACTATCTCACTCTCTAGAATTTTACCCTTTCTCTATCCATATCTACCCCCTTAACCTTAAACTCGCTTCCACATAATCTTACCTCTATTGAAAAGAATAATAATAATAATAAAGGTGTTGCTAAACAACAGGATTTCAACCAATAAATCAGTATTTCGGCCTTATCATTAAAAGACTGTAGATCTGAGATTAGCTATATTCCTTGTTATGTCTATGGCAACATTTCAGTTAAAGCAGTCCTTTTTTTCCTTCTGTAGAATTAATTAGTGTGGGATCTTCTCCTACATTGTAATGGGAGGTCTTGTTTATTTGTTTGTTTGCTTTTGACCAAAGCTATTCTTTGAAGGAAAAAAAAACAGGAATGGCAAATATCCTTGTCAAATATATCTTCCCAAGGCATGATGTACAATATTCTTTCCATAGCCAACTCAGTATACATTGGACAGACTGTACAGTGTTGCTCAAGAATTGAGATAAATAAATGTCACGGTATTTAGCTGTGTTCTTTCCCCACTTGGTATCAAACAATTTCCCATTCATTTCATTCTTACGTTTTGTTAAATCAAAATCTGTTTCATTCCCATTTATCTATATCTCCCTCACTCTTGCTCTAGCTCTCCAACGATTTCTTTAATTTTTATTCATGTAGATCCTGACACTTTCATCCTCAACAGATTTAGGTAGCAAAACTGTACAAATAAGAGTAATTTTAATAAGGGACAAATGATTCCAGTGCTAGATAAGGATAATATAAATAGACTATAACTCATACTTTTACCTAGAACAGGTCTCTTTACTTCATTTCAAATTTCTGTTTTAAAATATACAGTTTCCTGTTTCTACTGTTTCCTTAAGCACAACGTCACCCACAAACATTCAAAGTGCATAATAATTTTTTTTTATCAGAAAACTGTCTGGTGACATTTAACTGAAGGGCAAGCACTAGGTGGGAAAGCTGGTCACTAATTTCCCAACATAGCTCTTCATATTTTATCTGATGAAATGTATTGGCTGCACTGACAACGTCTGAGTCTATTTTAAATGCCATTTGCCTAAGTGCTCATTAATTTGATTCAGACTTAATGTTAGAATTGGCATGTGAACCTTGCTCGCATTTTATCTTCACCTTAGGTATTCAGCTGTTTATTCTGTTTGTTAAATAATCTTTTCTCTTTAATTCAGATGCATGCAGCATGCAGTGAATTCTAGATTTCCAGTCGTGTTTCACTTTTAATTGTGCTGCACAAATAAAAGAACTGACAATATGGCCAGATTAAAAATATGTCTAGCAAGAAAGAAAATTATCACAACTCAGTTTTAATTTAGAATCATATTAAACAATCACTCTACCAATGGGGTTAAATAATTAATTTGGGGGACTTTTTCAACTGTATGGGATTATTGAATAAATACAATACAGTGGACCCTCGATTTACGGAATTAATCCATATTGGAACGGTGGCTGCAGGTTGAAAAGTCTGTAGGTCGAGACTCCATCGACTTACAAAGCATTGAAAACCGATTAATCCGTAACCAGCCGTTTTTGTTCCATTTTGGGTTTTTTTCCTGTCTGTAGGTCGATTCTCTGGCTGCAAGTTGAACCTAAATTTTGCGGCCAGAGAAGTCTGTAACTCAAAAAGTCTGTAGCCATGGGTCATCGAGGATCCACTGTAATTCACTTCTTCATTTAGCTTCCCTATCTGTATACAATTCATTTTGAGTTAAGAAAATAAGTAACTAAAAATCCTGCTATTGTATTCTAAGGTCTCTAGGAAAACTGTATAGTGCAATTAACCAATAAGAGTTTTGTAGGAGCAGAGCACACAGAAGGGAAAGATAGCGAGAATGACTAGAACTTCCATGGGGACATTCATTGTCTTACCATGTTGACATACAGAAGGGCAACGCGTCCATTCACTGAAAGGAGTCACTACACAATCTTTTTTGCATGGAAGCAAACACGGACGGACGGTTTCTGGTCTGATGGATTCTGGGCACCTGTCAATATAAATTTCAAAGGAAAACATGAACATAGGTAGGAAAAATGCTCAAGCATCCTTTCTCCCCCAAATCAGGGAAAGATTTCAAGGTAGGAACTCTACAGTCAGGTTTGCTTGAGAATGTTCCATTGAAATCAGTGGGATTTTCTTCTGGCTAGGCACACATAGTATTGTACTATCAGCCTTTATCTATTTCTGAATTTTAAAAAAACCACATACATGAACAAATATCATTTTTATTAAAGGCTACTGAATTTAGGAATGTAAAGAGCATGGCCACTCACCTTTCAGAGTAAAAATTGTGGCGAAGCAAAATATTTATACAATTTGAAGAGAAACCAGAGGATTTATTTCCATGTCTGGAAGCTATGGTAGTCATAATGCCTGATACACATATCAGATATATTAGGGGAAATAATTGATCTGATTGCTTAATGTGAATCGTCCTCTCATAAAAGTGTTCCTTTTGTTCGGAGAGGATAATATGACCCAACATACATTTCCATGGCAGAAAGAGCTGATCTGAAGACATTTTTACAGATTATCAGTTCTGTCTGCAACCCATAGAGTTCCCATGACCTCAGATGTCTGGAATAAATTAAGGCATGTGTAGGGAGTGGTACTGGGGAGAGGAATCAGTGCAAAAGTCAGCACACCTGTCCTGTGAGTAGAACACCCATTCAACAGATGCTCCCACTGATGTTATTTAGGTCCAGGTCAGCAAAAGCAAAAACCTGTTTATTGTCAAGTAATTCCACTCCTTATGATGTGGTGCCCCAGTGTAATCATATAACCCTAACTAAAAAGTCTAACTTGCATTAATTACTACTGTCTCCAAATTGTTTCTGTTTGTACTCAGACATTGTGCTGAATATGGGGGAAAAATCAGCGAGGACATAGTTCCATAAATTTGTATAGAAGGTAACTATTCTTGTCCATGTAATCTTTCTTCCATAGGTTCAGGAGTGTTACCCTTGAAAAAGGGGATAGAAATGTGTGTCCTGTTCACATTGGTGAGAACTGGGGGACTGTTGTCTGCAGACTCTCTTAGAAGTTTTCATTCAGGAATGCTCCACCTCCACCCCTTGCTCAGGCTGGTGATAAAGTTTGTATGCCAGAAATTTGTAATTTGAATTATGACAGGGAATTATGAACTATGCCATTTTGCACAATGAGATGAACCACTAATCCTAAATGGGATGGCGAAAAGAATTACTTTCTCAAAATTTTAATTTCCATGTAGACTGATTGCTAGAGAAACAGCCACAACAGAAGAAAAACATCTAACCAATCAGGGCCTTAATTACTGATGACCTTTAACAAATGGTAAGCGCTAAACATAAATCATACAACACAGTTCTTTCAGATCCTCTTGGGTAGTTCTTCATAACGGCAAATAAAAAGTTCTTAAAACTAATCCAAGTGCAATAGAGAAATGCATTGTTTTAATAAGTGTGTATATTGTTCTCAGATGACTTCTCACAGTATAATTTTTTCTGTGTGCCTTATCTCTTTGAATTTTATTTCTAGGCACTATTCATTTTTCTATCCACTTGGAGGTCTATAAAATAGAAAACAAATTTAGCTTCCACTTCCTTCACAGAAAGAGGACAAAAAAATCTTCATTTCATAAATTCGACACTAAGGTAAATTGAATATTTATGCAGATACATAAATCTTCTTCTTGAAGTTACCCTGCGGTTAAGCTTCACCACAGCAGCTTTTAGAGAAGTGCCGATGTTTAAATTTTCATAAACAGTCAAATGTAATATAATAAGCCGATTGAGTCGCAAACAATATTTCTGCTCATTATTGTGATTAAATTGAGAAATCCACACTTGGACATGCGAGTTTCTAGAAGCATAAGCTGGGCAATTGTTTAGGAGGATCAAAGGCAGAGAGCCCAGCAAAGAATCAAGAACTAAGCTTTTCCTGCAGAGACAGATCTTCAGCATATTAAACTCAGCAATGCCCACTTAAAAGAATGAGGTATACTGAGTGCAGGTCATGTAATAATGAGCTCCAGTTACAGGAAGCCAGATTTAGGATTAATATCAGGAAAAACAAAAGTTGGTGAAGAGCACTTTTGGTCACAGCAGATATTTCCACCTCAATAGACAGAGCTGGGTTCAAGAGTACACTCAAACTCCGAACTTGAACTTTCAGGGGGAGTCTAACTCCACTGAGGTCAGATAAATCTCCCTCTGAGCAGTTCAGTGATCATCCCAACCTGTTCTAGTCTACTAGGATCTCCATCTTATCTCGATCCACTTTCACTTTATTGACCAGTCCATTATTAATGTCAGGTAGTGCTCAAAGAACCACACAGCATCACCTGCACATAAAGAGAAGAAACAGAGCTGTGTGTCATCAGTATATTAATGACAGCAAACTCCAAATCTCTGTATGACCTTTCCTGTTGTTTAATTGTTTAGTCATGTCCGACTCTTCGTGACCCCTAGACCAGAGCATGACAGGCCCTCCTGTCTTCCACCGCCTCTTGGATTTGGGTAAAAATCATGTTGATAGCATGACCTCTCCTAGTGGCTTCATAAAGATACTAAAAAGTATTGTGGAGATGGGTGATCTCTGCAGGACCCTGCAACAGAGGTCCTAAGGGGTGGACAACTCTTCCCCAAACTTTAACATCTGGGATTGACTCTCGAGGAAGGACTGGAACCATTAAACAACAGAACCTGCAAGTCCCAAACCTGATAACCATCCCAGAAGGATACCATAATTGATGTATCAAAGGCTGAAGAAAGATCCAGGAGGATCAGCAGGGTTACATTCCTCCTGCATGCATCCCTCAGGAGATAATCTTATAGGGTATCAAGTGCCATCTGTATATATTGAATTCCACTGTATAGTGCAATATAAATGTGTTGTGCAATGGGTAACTGAATGCGAAGGATATGGATGTGAATGAGAGGGATGTGTTTCATGTGTAATGCGCTACGTTTTGATGGATGCTAAGAGGGATGTGTTTCATGTGTAATGTGCTACGTTTTGATGGATGTTATGTCGTGTGTTTTATTATTATGCGTACTGGAGATGGCATTTTATTTTGTTGTACAGAAGAACAATGACAATAAAGTAAATTTAAACTCAAATTCATTTCAGTCCCATGGCATGGCCTGATCCATCACTGAAATGGATCTAGGCTATCCATTTCCTCTAAGAATGGCTGTAGGTGGTCGGCCACCACCATCTCAATCAACTTGCCCGGGAATGGAATGGGCCTATAGTTAAGATCATCCATTGCTGAATTAGATTCCTTTGGAATGGGCTGTATAATGGTTTCCTTTAGACAGGAAATCAAATGACCCTCCCGTGGGGATGTATTAATGATGTAAGCATCCCATTCCGTTATCATTTCTTTTCCTGATTTTAACAGCTATATGGAGCCAGGATCTGGAGTGGAACTGGTTGTTTTAGAGGGTGCAAGTGTCTTGTCCACACCCTCAGACCATACTAGCTAAAACTGATTCAGTTTAACTTGACGGTGCGTTGGACATCTCCATCAGATCAACTGATATCAACAAGGAGTCAAGGTCACACACATGTGCTTTCAATCTTAAATCTAAAGTGGTCTGCTAGTTAGCTGCAGTTCTCAACATCTGGAAAGCGAGATTACTTTTGTCCGGAAGAAATGAGGCCACAAACTACATGGAAGAGTTCTACCTGATGATTGGAAGCCGCCTCAATTAGTTAGATACTGTGACTTCTTTGTGGCCTTGATTTTATTCCAATATCTTCTGGATGCTTCCCTAACCACTACCAGGTTGAATTCTATGTGTGCTTTCCTCCATCTGCTGTTTTGACATTTTCATAATTACTTCATCAGAGTTAACTCCTTCAGGAACCACAGAGAAGGCCAGACTCTACATCAAAGACACCAGTTAGGGGCAGTCATGTCTGCAGCTTGGATCAGCTCTGAGCACCACTAGGTGACCAGATTGTTGACATAAGTACTAAACATATCAACCAGAAAAACCACTGTGACCATTTTAGAAACCAGTCAGATCCATCCATGGGATGGATCATGGTAATAGGTCCTTCCTCCCTACAGTGGGGTAAAATCACATGGGGTCCAAATCTCAGCAGAAAATGATCTGACCATGACTCAAGGTTCACTACCTCCAGATCTCCTTGTCCCAATGTGGACACCAGATCAAAGGTGCGGCCTACAGTATCTATGGACTCTGTGGCATGTTGAGACAGGACCATGGCAGCCATGAACCTCAGACCTGTTCTAGTCTACTGCATCTCTGCATGTATGTTGAAGTCCCCCAATGGGAGTTGCTTATTAAAAGAAGGTGTCCAACTGCATGCGAGACAGTCATAGGTCTATTCATTCTTCAGATCGTGAGGGACCACCATGAATTATCCACTTGAATCTTGCACCAATGACCACACTGAGGTAACTGAGGGTAGACAGTGTCAACACCACCCATTCTAGATCTGTGATTGTTTACACCACTGGTTCTTAACCTTGGGTTACTCAGGAGTTTTGGACTGCAACTCCCAGAAGCCTTCACCACCAACTGTGCTGGCTGGGGTTTCTGGGAGTTGCAGTTCAAAAACATCCGAGTAACAAAGGTTAAGAACCACTGGTTTACACCACACTGTTTTCATCTGCCCAGTAATCCTGATTCCTATATACTGGTGGAGGAGAAGTGGCTTACCAAGCCACATCATGCACCTGTGTCAAAGGTAGCAATTGAGGAAGTTGGGCAGGATTCAGGTAATCTAAAAAGTGACCTTCAATGTTTGTAGCTCTAGTAACAAGGGGTGAGGTGGCACCTATTGCTCTCCTTCTCTTCACTGCAATTTCTAACATTGAATTCTAAAAGGGAAATCCAGTTAATTTCCTTTTTTGTCATGGATGTGATCCTCTGAGTCAGCCTAAAAGTCAGCCTAAATGTGTGGCTTTCCTTTGGGACTGGTCCAGGCATGTTTCTACTTCTATTTTACACTGTGTTGGTATTATTTTTTCTCAAATTTTGCCTAGCTTTGCTAAGAAATAACTCTTCCTGTCTGTTGTTACGATAACCCACAGAGACATCTTCTCTCAGAGAAAACTTAGATTCCTATAGATTGAAGATCCACTTATCAGCATCACTTTGAACCACAGAGCTAGCATCCTGATAAGATTTCTGTAGAAAGACAAAGTTCTGTCAAAAGGTTCCCACAATGCTACTCTGGTTGAAATCCACCCAGTATTATTTTTAGAGCAAGTACAGGTGGTATTTTTAAGACAAGATAAATATAGAATAGAAAGACAAAGTTCTGTCAAAAGGTTCTCACAATGCTACTCTGGTTGAAATCCATCCAGTATTATTTTTAGAGCAAGTACAAGTGGTATTTTTAAGACAAGACAAATACTATCATAGTTTAATTGTTTTTAATGTATAATTTGTGTATTATCTATTATAATAATGTATTATTTACTGTTTTTAATTCTAGATTTTTTTTAGAAAGACAAAGTTCTGTCAAAAGGTTCTCACAATGCTACTCTGGTTGAAATCCATCCAGTATTATTTTTAGAGCAAGTACAAGTGGTATTTTTAAGACAAGACAAATACTATCATAGTTTAATTGTTTTTAATGTATAATTTGTGTATTATCTATTATAATAATGTATTATTTACTGTTTTTAATTCTAGATTTTTTTAACACTGTGAGATGCCTTGAGTCTCCTTATCAAGAGACAGCTGATCTAAAAATAAGACAAAGGAAGGAACAAGCTTTGCTTTTCAAGTCCAGAATATACTGGATCTTGGTATAATGTCCCCCATCAAAAATTCCTGCCTACAGTATTATATGAAACACCTTGCCTTGCTATTTTTAATAGGCTTCAGATATGTCCGCTAATAAATAAACACATCTTTCTAGTTACCATATTTTTCCATTGATAACATGCCTCCATTTATAAGCTTCCCACACACACATACACACTTTTCTAACCTAAAAATTAAGAAAACTAAGCTTTGAATATTCAGTCTCGGGGCTCAGGACGGTTGGACATTCTGAGTCCCTGTTGAATCTGATCCTATAGGTTCCACCTGCAAGAGGTGGGTTCCAATTGGTTTGTTCAGCATCAGCTGATGTCAGTTCAATAAGGCTCGTGATTGGAGGAAGCTAAGTCTCCTGACTGTAGGAAGCTAAGCCTTGTGATTGAAGGAAGCCTGTTTACAGAGGCAAGGTACAGTCTGTGCCATTTTGTTCTCTCCTCAGCTATCTCAGCTTACTTCCATGTAAAAGACACCGCTCAATTTTTAGTGTAATGATTTTAGGAAAAAGTAGTGTCTTATACACAGAAAAAAAGGTACATGAATCTGTGTATAGATTCTGAAAGATATTCATTCCGCCTCTGCACATCTGTTCAATCTCTCTGTTGCAGTAGGTAGCAACAATAGGGGGGTAGGTGGGTGGCAGTAGCAGGACAGGGCAATGCATGTCCTTCTTGTGCTACTACTAGGGAATGGAAGAGACAAGATGGAAAAGTTTCCTTTGAATGCTGGCTTTTTAAATCAAGATACATAGGTCTAACTTGGCTAAAAGTGTAAAAACATCAAATCTTTTCCTCCCTCACTGAGTTAATAACAAGTGGATCTCAGAAATCTCAAAGGTATACACAGATTTGCATTACATCTTCATTACATTTCAGATTTGTACCCTTCTAATATTCTCTTCCTGATCAGACACCCATCAGATACCCAAGACTGATCTGTGTACTTCACAAGAGTGCCTTCAGTTCAATGTGCTCCTTTTAAAGAACAAAAGATGGTTTAACACAAACATGGCAAAAGCTAACACTGATCAACTTCTCATTTATCAATGGATACTAGCTGTTCCTTTCCTCACTCAATTAATCTCACTAACCTAAACAATTTTAATTAACTTTAACAGCTTCAACACAGTCTGCTCATTTTCAGCAGGACTGTTCTGAGAAATACAATGAAAGTTAAAACCAATCTGTAATTTGCCAGCTTCATTAACAGTGTAAAAAGTAATTAGCAATGTCTTGACTCTCTCTCTCTATGTGTGTGTGTGTGTGTATGTGTGTGTAATTTTTTAGAAAACATCTGTGCTTCTCACATCCCTGAGTTCCTAAAGTGAAAGCAGAAAGGTATGTCATGAACTAGACTAGATACGTTATTTACAATCACGTTTCCTACCAAAGGGCAATTCTGCTATAAATTAATCGCATGGTGTACACTTCCCACATACCCTTATTTTCTGAGGAGAATATTCACATTATTTTCAATATCTTTCACTGGAATTCTTAAACTCAGTTGTTCTTTTTTTAAAGAATTCATTCCTTAGAAGCTGGCCCTAGAGCAGAGGTGGGAAATCTGCAGCCCTCCAGATAATGAACTACTACTTCTATCATCCTTCACCGATGGGCATGCTGTTTGGCCCTGGCTCCAACCATCTCTGCAGGCAAACATGCTCCTTATACCTGCCTCTGAGAAGAGGACCTATTAGCCACCTAAAAAAAGATACATGAGAGCCCTTAAACAGAGACGTCAGATGGTAGAAACAGCTCAGGAGTAACAGGAACCATTTCTCTTTTAGCAGTTCTTCCACTAGAACCCACACTACTTTTAAAATAACAATTTAGAAATATGGAAGTGATTGTACCACAGTTTGGGGGTTTCCTGGATCAGCTTTCTGATACTGGATTTCTTTGTACTTCTACGTACGTTTTTTCACAAGTAGGTTTTAAATTTTTCTCCTTCTCCTTTTAGAAAGGGAGAGCAAGTAGCAGACTCCATTCTACCAGCCTCCATTTTAGGTAGATGACTATGGAAAGAGGCACACAGTTCTTGAAAAACCTCCAATGCGCAGAGAATAAGTGTTGAACAATGAACATTCTTCTCAGTAATAGCAACAGAAGCCATTCATTACGTTTTTTCACAAGTAGGTTTTAAATTTTTCTCCTTGTCCTTTTAGAAAGAGAGAGCAAGTAGCAGACTCCATTCTACCAGCCTCCATTTTAAATAGATGACTATGGAAAGAGCCACACAGTTCTTGAAAAACCTCCAATGTTCTGACTGCCCAGAGAATAAATGTTGAACAATGAATATTCTTCTCATTAATGGCAACAGAAGCCATACATTAAGCCAAGGGCAAGCATCAGACCCCCTTTTCTGTGTTGTGATTTCTAGGAAAGGACTATATGGGAATACCTACAGTTCATCTCCATTTTAAATAGATGACTATGGAAAGAGCCACACAGTTCTTGAAAAACCTCCAATGTTCTGACTGCCCAGAGAATAAATGTTGAACAATGAATATTCTTCTCATTAATGGCAACAGAAGCCATACATTAAGCCAAGGGCAAGCATCAGACCCCCTTTTATGTGTTGTGATTTCTAGGAAAGGGCTATACTGTATGGGAATACCTACAGTTCATCATTAGTACAATCTAACTGGTTCCAGCAATGTCGCAGGATTTGGCAGAACGACACATGCTGCCTTCGGGACTCCAGCTCCGGAAGTTCATCATTAGTACAATCTGTTTCTGCATTCTGTTTCACAACCACCAAACATATGCTTATGGAAAGCCTTTGTGTGCATGCATAAGTTTATTTACTAGTTTACATTTACTTATTTACTAGAAGAAATTAAACTGAAAAATTGCAGCCATGTTGTAACTTAGTGGCATGCATGTCTGAACAATACCTTTTGGCTGGGATCTGGCCAGAATTACTCTTCATGCAGAAAACCTTCCTAGTTTGCATGCCCACTCCACATGTAGCTTCACCATTCCAGTTAATGGTAGCATTCAGAGCTGTTACCAATATATTTTCTGAACAGGGACTCCACACAGACATTTCCCTGTAGACCAGGTTGCAAGAGTGTTCATTACACACACGATATTCTTGCAGTGCACGAGTAGGGGGACATGGCTTTCCACCTATATGGGAGAAAAGCAACACAGTGTGTTTAAAAATTTAAAAGAAAGAAAGAAAGAAAGAATGATAAAGGCCCAAAGACATGGTTTGCAATTCAATTCATCATTATTTTCCTCCCAGCGTAAGTAGTTCTCTCACAACATGCTGCAGCCAAAGATGCCAAAAAGGGGAATAGTTTACTTATGTAACACAGTTGCTTCACGGTAATGTGTCTTGCTATCCACAGCAGCAATCAAATGAATTAAATACTACTTTTGTCCTTCCTGTGCAACAAATTAAGTTGCAGTCTCTCAGTGTTCCCTGGAAGGAGAACACAGCCCCAAATTTGTTGTGCTTTACAACAAAAGGCACTGAGGCAGCAAGCGTTGAGCAAGAAAAATCAGAGAGACACACTGGAGCTGAAACTACCTGCCAGCACAAGGTTGAGTATATAGTTTCTGCATTGTAAACATAGGAGAACTATTGTTTTTTTTCCTAATCAAAAAACAGGATGGCGCAGCAGAAATATGTATTTCTGTTGTTTTTATGTGTTTTTAATACTGCTTTAACTTACATGTTTTAACATGATGTTTGTTTAATTCCTTTTAAAGATTGTAATACAGTAATTTATTGTTTTAGCTTTCAATACAATGTATTGTTTCTTTTAATACTGTAAGCCACCTGAGATCCTTTTAGGAGAAAAGCAGCATGTACACAAACAAACAAACAAAGCCACACAGAGCTAATATCTATGGCAATACCAACTACTGAAACTGAATTCTTTAGTCAATGATCAATTATTTTTCCCTGAAATGCCAACATTTTAGAAAGCAGTGCAAAATTGCGGAAACAAAAGCTTTACAACTACTGCCATTGCAACCTAAGGCTGAAATCGCGTAGTACCTGTATAAATATATTGTGAAACAACATGGGGGCAGGGGGAGGTGGCCAGACAAAACCAAGAGCAACAGCAGCTTCAATAATAGAGAATGATGAGTTTTGATTTGAGTAAAGAAGAGGGAACCTGAAAGTGAGTTGTTTAATTATCTATATGCAAAACACATTCATGTGGATGTGAAGTTGCTGTGTGTCTGTCCTTTGTTATAGATTGTGTGTGTGTCTATGGACTCTAATGCCTCTCAATCCCAATTAACATGACCAATGGTCAGCAATTATGAGCATCACTGAATACCCCATGTGCTGGCCCAGCAACAGATCATAATATCCTCTGAACCAATGTATATGATGAGCTGACTCAGAAAGCAAAGTGAAGTTGAGTCTGGTTAGTGGACTTGGATGGGAGACCATTACCAAGATCTCCAGGTAAGGCTAGAAATGAATTGTAATAGAAACCCTAAAGAAGCATCTCTACTGCCATCTGAGCCAGTCATCTCTAGAGAACTACTGCCAGGTGACGATGCTGAGTAAGATGAACCGGGAGTCTCACTTAGTATAAGGCAGATGTTCCTAACATCTGAAAGCCCACGGAAATTCCATCCTTGTCTTAAACCATACGTAGATAGGTTAGGGCAGGTTATTCCAACACTGAAGCTTCCAAAGACCATAAGGCCCTGCCAGGTTAATGCCATGAGTGTTAAAAGAAGCAGGGTTGTATTATTTCCACACACTCTCTTTCTTGCATTCTCCCTATCTGGAACAAAATGGGCTGCACCAGCGTTGGACCTAACATAGTTTTCCCTTCTTATCCCATTCTATGGAAGTGTTGAGGTGTGAGATGTAGATCCTGGAAATTAATAACCTCTCTCCTGTAACACTCTTGGAGGAACAGCTTCTGTATCTCCTTTCCTTCACATTAAGGCCTGCTCCTTCCAATTTAACAGCTGGTGCTCTGTTATTCTTTCGGAGCAATTTAAAGTGTAACTGGACCATACTGCATATTTCTCTTCTCAATAGTCCCTGTAAAGTTTTAGCCTAGCCTATTCAATAAATATGTAACATAGGTAGTTGCTTCACAGTCCTAAAGCCACTAGCCTATTCAATAAACAGATGCTTGCCCAATAAAAGGTAATGAGGAAAATAATAATCTCTTAGCTTAAATTTCCTTCTATTTCCCGGAATTTCACCTGCTTTTTCCCCCTCATCCTTGTTTTCTATCACATTGCAAAACTTTTAGGTTTCTTCCCAAGTTGTGTACAATTCTAAATGCATTTTCCTTAATATGCGAATACATTCGGACACATTACCTAATTTATATAATTCTTACTCATTGACAAAAAGGTATGTATGTATTTTCATTAAGCCTATTTTAGCTATTTGCATTTTAATATGGAAACACAGGTTTGTATGCACTTTTTTTTTCATAAATGCTCCGTAAGCCTTATATATTGAATTGAGTTAAGGTATTTTCTTCTCAGAATGAGCCTCGGGATGTGCAAAATGCTACTTTTGTCACCATGATTGAATCCAGCTATACCAACAAAAAAGTTAACATCTTAATCCACTTTTCTGAATGTCCTCAAAATAGTCACAAAGTGGACTAACATTGAAGTGAACTATATATTTTCAAGAGAAGGTATTTCAGCTTTCACTGCCACTTTTTACAGAATTACACAATGAAATATTTAATGCACCATTCAATATTAAACTATTCTAAAATATATCCTTTTTTTAAACAGTACACTCAGCTTTAACATGCAAATGTCCAGCTCTGCTTAACACAGTTCTTTCGGTCTGGTTTTAGTATGTTTTCCTGAATTTGTGGATTGACAGTTACCTTCATCATTACTTAGAACATGCATCATAATTTAATTAATTTCTCTATGCAAATTTATCTTTTTCAAAAATCCAATATTCTGATGCATTAAAAAGCTCCATTAAGTTATGACTTCAATGTTATCAGATACAATTTGGCAACACTGAGGATTAATGAATATTTGTACAGAGCTTTGTAGGTGCAATTTTATTGCAAGTGATAAGGAAGGATTATTAATTACTATTATTATAGTGGGACTGGAGGCTAACCCAAATGACTCTCTAGGGAAATGTGGAACAGCACACAGAATTGAAAAGCCAAAGCCCAGAAACAACACATACCATATAATACTATACAATTTATCTGCTACAATTTATTTTCAGACATTGCACCTGATTAATTCCAGATCTATGGACTATTATTATTCTTCATTTTATTATGGCACTATGAAGCTAACTGAGCTGCTCTCATCTGCCCTACAGTTTTAACAATTTCATTTAAACTGTTAAAGAGATCAGACTATAGTCACACCAAAAATAGCATACACCAAAAATAGCACAGATATTATTTTTTGTCATGAGGAAAACTTGTTTCCAATGCAGCTTTTTCAGACTTTACCCTTCATCCACTTCAGAAACGTGATTTCTTTGCATTTGGAGACACATTTTTAGCTGTATCTAAAGAAAGGACATTCCTTGCTTGTGGAATGACAGTAGACTGAGGACTCTGGAAACTACTGCTAGAAAAGCTTCTGCTAGAAAATTCAAGCATATAGAATCATAGAATAATGGAGTTGAGCCCAACCCCCTGCTCAATGCAAGAATCCAAATCAAAGCAGATCTGACAGAAGATGGTCCAATTTTCTCTTGAACGTCTCCAGAGTTGGAGCGCTCACCACCTCCCAAGGTGGCGATCCCATTGTCCTACTGCTCTAACAGTTAAGAGGTTTTTTCCCTGATAATCAGCCTAGGGGGGAGTGGCTTCCTAATAACACTGGAAAGGCAGAAAATATTGGTTATGTGCTATTAATAATCTTTTACTGCCAAGGCCAGGGCAATTGCAGAAGATCATGATTCAGGTGCCAAAATAGCTTGACAGTCTTGGGTACTTTACAATGTAATGCTAGTCATAGAAGAGAAACATTTTATACTGTTATTTTTCAAGCAGCAAAGTGTATGGAACCAGCCTTAATATCCTTTGGGATGGAAAGACTGGTCTTTAATGAATTTGGAAATAACAAAACAGACTCTCTCCTAGCCTTGATGGGCCACAGGAAATCTGGAACGAAACCAAGAGATAGCCCCAAGAGATGCACTGTTCACCTTCTCCTGGCAATGCCAGTATCCGTCTCATTCTGCGTTGCCTTCCTTCAGCATTTTTACTGGAGCATGAGTGGGAACAAGGCGACCACTGTGACCACTCGGTCACCACACAGTCCATTCCGCATGGTACTTCACACGTCACTGTCTTGAAAGGCAAAGGAAAGTCTGCACAAAACCCATCTGAGACATCTTCACCTAAAATCAACATGAAATAGGTAAACAACAAGATTAGAATTAGAAACCACTTGAAGGTTTGTACAACAGTGTGAGTAAGTATGAATGCTGACCAGTTATGGAGAAGTTTTTCATCAGGTCACCATGGCATCGTCAGGGGACACTTACCGGTACTTCAAGGGCTGGTTTATGTTGGGCAAAGTTTCATTGGTCTCATTCACATCCTCCTCTGCTGCAGAGGATAAAGCCCCTTCTGCCATTGTTTGGTCATCTCTGGACTACAGAAAACCTTGTAATTTCTTTTCCTTTTTAAAATTGTAATTTGTTATTTAACTCATTACATAGGGGGCATCTTCCTTTCAAGTAATTTTTCGTTATTCCAGATTTTTAACTCAGTAACTCATTATTTTGCCTACTGTGTTATTGTTGCTTTTTCATTATCATTTGGCCAAAAAGAAAAACTAGACAACTTTTAATCTAAAATTGCCCTAAATATGTATTTAGAGATATCTAGAAGATACAAAAATTTAATTGCCCCACCCCAAAGTTCCATCACTCTCATTCATGGTGTTCCTTTCGACATGTGACTTCATTCTGTACTCCTTACATAACAGCAAGTTACTTTTTCACACATTACCCACAGGCTCTAAGTAAGAGAACTCTTATGGGATGCATGAAGGCACACTTGAACACACTTTTGCTCTCTGAGAATCATGTTCATAATGTGTAAAATGGTAATTTCTAATTTCTAAATGTCATATCTGATAAACAGGACTGTCACCCAAACAGCAGCCCCGTCTCATATTCTGCCTATCCTCTGCAACTTACCTTATGTACCAAAGTCATTATGCTGTATGCTTCCTAGCCACCACCGCACCTAAGTGGTTTCTATTAGTAGGGCAAGGAAACCTAAACTATAAGGCAGGAGAACTGAGTGAGCCACAGTGCATGAACCCAAAAGTTCCATCAAGTCCAGTATCTTTGCCATTGTGTTCTTATTTTATTTCTTTGTTACGTCTTCTTTTTTAAACTTACTCCTCATCCTTCTACTGCACCTCATCCAGGCTGGCGATTAACAACCTAAAGCTGACATAAAATATTCTAGGCTACTTAATGTACAACCATATAATAAAAAAAGTCAATGAGCACAAACAGTTAACCTGGAGATCAAATTGGGCGGTCTTTATTGTGCAACTAAATATCATCAGAGAAAGACGTTCTCTTCAGGCAAGCTTTCTCTGAATGAATGACTGCCTGCCTGAGTGGGGGGTTTTAATGGATGGTTGTGCCTTATTGCTTTGAATGTGCTTTCAGTGTTGATTCTGTTTTTAGTATGGTATTTGTTTGATCCTTTTTTAGTATTTGCACACTCACCACTTTTAGCATTAAAAACAGTCTTTTAATAATGTAATGTCACCTTGGGTTCTTTTTAAGGAGAAAGGTAAGGTAAAAATATTGTAAACAAACAAACAAACAAACGTGCCAACCTAGCCCTAGGAGCAAAGAATTCAATAGTTTGGTGCAGCCAGTAAGCAGGACTTGATTTTTGCCCTCAGAAAGTCCTTTTCTGCCATAACTGGAACAAAAAAGAGGACCTCCCTACTCGACTATTCCCTACTCAGCCTACTCAATTTGGGAAGAGGCAGCCCATGAACTATCCAGAATCAAAGGCATATGGGGTTTTAAAAGTTATCACCATGAACTGTACCCCTCGAAAAAAATCACCACGAGTTCCACTATGGATGTAATGTAATCTCGTAAACAAATGTGGTTGCATGCTGGACCAACTGCAATTTCTGAGGACTCTTCAAATGCAAACACGTAGAATGTCCCCACCCCCACCCCCCAAAAAAATCCCTCAAAACTCTTAAATTTGAAATTTGAAAAACAAAACCCAACAACCCATGGTTCATAACGGCAAGTGAAATGCATCTGGCTTATCCATTCTTGAAGTTTCATGGCACTATGGTGCAATGCATGTGTGTTTCTTGACAGAACAAGAAATACACAGATGAGGCTGACAAGGGGACTTGATTATAGGTTACAAATATCTTGAGTAATTTCCATGGTTGAGCTCATTAAAGCTCAAATGTGTATCTTTTTATGAACAGTGCTTTCACTTTGAATGCTTTCCTCTCTTCCCTCAGGATACTTGCAAGGCTGTTGTTATCTTTAATGAATCCAATACCCATCTAACAAACAGTGTATCATTTAAATACGTAATGAAAAAGGCAATAAAACTAGAAATAGCAACAGGGAATGGAAACTGACCCTTCACTGGCAAGCAGAAGCATGTCTGTAATGAAGATGCCCTCCATATAAATATAAAATGGAGCGTAAAGTCTTCTGCAGCTTTTGCAAAGCAACATGTATACACCAGCTTGTAAATAAGATAGACAAGCTGCCAGTGAAAGTGCTTAAAGCTGTCAATCGTGAAGCAGTAATTTCTGCATTTATATTCTTAAATGAGGGCAGCCTTATAGTCCCTGAGGTACAAATAAACCTTTTCAAGCTTATTATGGGGAATAACAGAGAGGATTGAGAAGGTAATCATGCTATAAGATCCGTTTTCAAACACACACACACACACACATTACATTTTAAATGTGTGTGTATCACATGCATGTGCATGTACACACAAACACAGAGAAACACAAATATCTTCTAATGTCCTGTCTTCAAGATTTGTCTTTGCTAATCAGGTAAAGCTCAACTTGCCTGATCAGTGTCTTATTATTCTAGTTTACTAAATGAATTAAAAAAGAAAGAAAGAAAACTCCTTTGGAAAGCCTCTGACCATGAATGTACACCAGTCTCCTTCTGTGACGTGTCTGCAAAGCACTCTCATGGCATCTATAACCTGCCTTTAATTGTCCCCTCAGAATGCCCAGTTTCAGCAGCACTGATCTCTGGGTGCTCACATCAAATTGACAGCTGAGTAAGCTGTGAATGAGAGCAAATCTTAAACCACACACCAATTATGTGCTTGCCTCCGTAAGTCATTCCGGTATTGGAGTCCCTTGAAGGTATTTTGACAGCCTGCCTGTGTGGCAGCTGATCTACCACAGCTCTCAGAATTGGGGGCAAGGTGGACTTTGGGAAGAGGCCTTCAAAGGAAAGGTGAAGCTAAGAGACTTCAATACTTTATCTCGTTAAACAGTAAAAACTCTTTTCTACACCGCCATTTCTATTTAGAGGAAATGCACAAATGGTCAGCTTCTGTTAGGCCCTGGGAGATGGGAAACTTATTTCCTTGCCTTCTTTTCTAGCCATAATGAAACTAGCTGCAAATATTTTAAAAATACTATGTGGGTGTTGCTTACAAGATAATTGGTAAGTACCAAAGGAGAAACTGTCAGCTGCCTTTGGGGAAAATGTATGCTTTTGTTTTTATGCTGCTGAAAGAGATACAACTGATAATCTGTCAGCTCTTAAAATCTTCTTGTGCTTTTCTGTAGAAAAGAAACAAAAGGGCCTCTCATCCAAAGGTTGTAGCTAAAGCACAATCCAGCATTACTGGAAAAAAAATGGAAATGGCTGGATCTTAAGTTTTGAGTGATCTTAAACAAGCCCCTGGAGAACAGTAAGAAGTACATTCACACAGAGCAACAAGTACCTGCTTCAGCAATGATTGCCAAAACAAACTTTTAAGAATAGCTTCATAAGACTGGGTTGTACGCTAATTACATTATGGAACCATTTTGTTCAAAATGGGCATGTACCAGAACTGTAAAATGACCACAGAACCTGGGAGTACCAGAGAAAAGTTTAATGGTCCATTCTCAACTGACCCACCTCCCCTCATACCATGATACAACCCATTATTGTAATCAATTTTAACAAGGTCATGCTGTAACATCATACGGAGTAATGGTGACTGAACACTGTTGCCAAAATTCACCAGCAACCAAAAGAACTGCATCGTATATGCTTTTGAAGAAATATTTCTCACGTTCTCCAGACTCATGGGCTCCTGTCCAAATACTTTTGGTATAACTTCTGAATGTCCACTACTAGAACTCTGCTCACAGAATATCTAGATCCAACCATACAGATGTAGTAATGCGAGTGACCTGGGAAGTAGGCAAGTTCAGAATATAAACTTTTAAGTAATTATAATTTATAAAAATATATCTTTGTTTGTGTCCAAATCCGTTCCAACTTACGGCAACCCAATGAATGAGTAACTTCCCTGAAGTCTCAGTTTCTGAAAACCCAAACTCATAGTTTCCTTTATTGAGTCAACTCATCTCATATGGCCTTCTTTTCCTGCTGCTGAAACATCAGATGCATCCACTCTCTTCAGGATTAACAGTCCCACCAGCAGAAGGGAACTGCTGTTTGCAATGGTGATGGAGTGGAGAAACTTCTGGAGGACAGTTATTGGGCGGCAGCAGTAGTGGAAAGTGACACTACTTTCAGAAGACAATGGCTGTGACACTCAAGCTAACACTTGTTGATAGTGAAGAGAAAAAGGCCCTGGTAAACCACTTCTGAATATTCCTTACCTTGAAAACCCTACATGAGACAAAATATATGTACAGTTTATTAAGACTCTGGGATTTGACTTTTCTTCTTTAAGCTCAAGGAGCTGCACATGTAGAAAGACAGGAATCATCCAGGGAATGACGAAATCCACATTGGTTTAGCTTTAGCCTATTTGTTGTTTTGTGTGTCTTTCAACATGACATGGAACATAACGTACATCTGCATCATCTGAAAAAGTGTGCCTGGACACATGAAAGCTTTTATGAAAAAATTAAAATTAAAAATTAAAAACTAGCTAATCTTGAAAGTGCTATAAGACATCTGGTCTATCTGGATATGATATCTTGCTAAGCAATGCTAGCAATGTGTTGTCTATATTTTTTTTTGTAATGTGTGTAATTATATAATCAAATGTTATTTACATAGTGCCATCAAAATTATAATGTAGTATAATTATACTCTGAGTAATAGAGTAAGGAAATAAATACCTGACTTAGGAAAAATACAAATGGATCCACTGTGAAGCTGCACTC